TAGATAACACCGACAAAACTACTGAAAATTTGGGTAAATATAAATAATTTTATAGTTTATTAATCAATTTTTATTTTGTTTTTATACAATGTTATATATTTTAGTTGAAATGAATGAATCTGAAACACTTGGTACCGCTAACAAAACTATTGAAATTTCAAGGAAAAATGCAGGTAAATAATTTTTAAAGTGCACAATGTACCTATTTATATTTTTACTGTACTATGTTTTTATTATTATTAAAAGATGCTTATGAAGATCACAGTGTTAATGCTGAACTTAAATCATTAGACCCTAGAAATTTTATTGAAATTGGATTAAAATTAACACCGGAAGAAAAAATATCTATTATCAGAAGAGGACCTTTTCAACCAGAAAAACATGAACTTATGGAGAAAAATTATCCCCAGGAACATGGTCATCGTTTCAATACTAATCAGTATTATAGAGTTTTACATAGTGGTGAGAGAATCAAGCGCGATTGGTTAAGTTTTAGTGTTAGTAATAGTCGAATGTATTGTTTATACTGTATGTTTTTTGGAAAAAATAAACAGAGATCGTGGACAGTTGACGGATTTCATGCTTGGCAAAGATTACAGGATATAAGTTAGCATGAAAAAACTGAAAATCATATAAATGCTGCTATTATAGTCAAAATGAAATTATCTTGTATCGCAATTCTTCCACAAATATATGAAAATAAAAGAAAGCAAGTATTAGAAAACAGAGAAATCATAAATGCTCTCATTGAAATAACTTTGTTTCTTAGTCAACATTCATTGCCATTTCGTGGCCATCGTGAAAGTTGGGATGAACGTAATAAAGGAAATTTTAAAGACCTAGTTATACTAATCAGAAAATTTTCTCCAGAATTAGCTGTATATATAAATCACTTGAAAACCAAAGGAAAGAGTGAAGTAAATTATATATCATGGCGAAGACAAAATCAGCTCATAAGTTCTGTAGCCACGTTTATCAAAACAAATATTATAAGAGATGAAATTAAAAAAGCTAAATATTTTAGTATTTCAATCGATACAACTTTTGATTCATCAAAACGTGAGCAATTAGCTTTCATTGTACGTTATGTTAGTTTCAAGGAAACATCTCCTGTAATATGTGAAAGACTATTAGCACTAAAAGAATCATCTTTAACTACAGGTCGTCAGCTTTTTTCAATATTTCAGGATATTTGCCTTGAAAATGAATTAGATTGGAGATCTTTACTTGTTGGTCAGAGTTACGATGGCGCCAGCAATATGCGAGGACAATATGAAGGTTTACAAGCTTTCATAAAAGAAGTAAATCCGTCTGCAGTTTATACGTGGTGCTATGCTCACCGTCTAAACCTTGTAGTAGTTCAAGTTGCTAGTAGTTCTGCTGATGCAGTAAATATGTTTGGTAATGTAGAAGAACTGTATAACTTAATCTCATCTAGTAAAAAAAGAATAGCGTTCTACGAAAATACACAGAAAGAAAACAGACCAGCTGAAAGAGTAAGGAGATTAAAAAGAGTAAATACAACTAGATGGATGTCATATTCCAAGGCCCTCCAGACAGTTCTAAACACTTTTGATATAATCATAGACACTTTGGAAAATATCAAGGTTACAGAAGTATCTGATTACAAGACCTGCTCTAAAGCCAATGGATTAATTAAATTTTTATTAACAGAAAAATGTATAATGACTGCTATATGTTTTAGTAAAATATTTCAATTATTAGATCCAGTTACAAAAATTCTTCAATCACCCGATATTGATTTATTAGAAGCAGTAAACAGTGTACAAGTGGTCTTAGATAACATTAAAAAAATGAGATCAGACAAAATATTTCAAAATATCTGCAATGAAACAACAATTTTTATGGAAAAATCTGACTTTGAGTTTAATTCATTGCCAGTGAAACGTTGTAGACGAAAAAAATTAATGGCAGGTGATTTTAATCCTGACCATGTTATTACAGATCCAAAACAAGAATATAAAGTCAACACTTATTTTATGATAATTGATGCAGCCATTGTATCAGTTGAAACTAGATTTCATTCAACAAGTCAACATTTATTAAAAGATATTTCACTTTTTTCAACTGCTAATTTAAAACAAACTAAAAAAGATCCTACAATGTTACCTAAAGACGCTTTTAAAACATTCTGTAATTTGTACCACCACTTTGTAAATTATGAAGATTTGAGGACAGAATATGTACAATATTCTAGATCATTTTTTGAGTTTGAAGATGCTATTGGGTTTCAACAAACTTATATCCATGGCGAAAACTACACTAGTAACAATGATAGTGAACATGAAAGTGGAGAGAATTCAGATTCGGATAATGATGAAGATGAAGGAGCAATGTATGTTCACAAACATAATAACTTAGGCACATTACTACATATGCTTCAAGTATGTCATAAAGCAGGATTAAAAAATGTTTTTCCATGCCTTTATGATGCCTTACATATTGCATGTACATTGCCTGTTGCAAGTACGACGCCTGAAAGAACTTTTTCTAAGTTAAAAATTGTTAAAAATAGATTAAGGACAACAATATCACAAGACAGCTTAGAACAACTATTATTAATGTCATGTGAATCAGATATAGAGATTGATAACGGTCAAGTTATTGATATATTTGCCAACTGCAGTTCAGTGTTGAAGAAACATCTTTTATAGCTTATAACCTATCATATCAAAGAAATGTATTTTATTATTATTATAATTATTATTTTAATTAATGTTTGAATTTTTTTCTAAATATAAGATTTACTGGATTAAATATATATGATTGACCTTTGGCCTTAATAATTAATTCACTGTTACCCTATTTAGAATAATTGAAGTGTGTGTAAAAATATTATATGTCCAAATCAACCACAACAGTGGTGGTGGTGGTGGT